ATCTGCTTTGATTTGTATTCCTGCACTGAGCAGGCAGTTGGACTCAATTCAAACTCAATTATTTGATTGATTGATTGATTGATTGACAGACAGACTGACTACTCCATTAGAGCATGCAGTACTCCTTATTCAGACCAGGGGGAAGTGAAACCAACATGGAGGATGTAACGGGTCTCCTACCAACTCACCTCAGACTGAAGAAGCTGCTTGGATGAGTAGCGAAATGTTTCAACCTAACAAGAAAAAATTCGAGTCGCCATGACTCAACTTCCAGATAATCTCACCTGGATGACTGAGAATCTTCACAGATATACTCTGGGCAGTTTACAAGTTAAACTTAAAAATACTACAGATCCCAGATAGCAATACATACAATGATTTGGTGACTTAAAAGAAAAAAAAAAGAGAAAAGAGAAGAAGAAAAATATATATTGATATTAATATGCTTCACCACCATGCCAAGACTTAATAAAGCTTCATGGATATTAATATTAATATACTCTTCAACCACCCCAAGACTTAATATAACTTCATGGAAGGTGTGTTCCATGATGATGGCGCATTTAAAGAATGAAGGGTTTTTGAGGAGCAAAGATTTCTGTAAATGATCTGGAAAATGAACATCTCTTGAAACGTTTGATGATTTTAAAAAAAGAAATTTGAAGGATAAGTAGTAATGATCAAGTTCTTTGGTAATTTTTTTCTAAAGCCATTCCTGGAGGATTTTATCCAATGCTGAGATATAAGTATATATCATATATAAGCCAGTATACCACCCACTTCCGATTCCACCCATATTAACGCGACAAGGGTTTCTTTCTTTTCCTCCAAACCCACTGAGCTTGGAATGGCAGACCCTTTGTGTTGAGAGAAGCTAACCATTGGAGAAAAGAGGAGATAGACACAAAGCCATGATTACTCAGAAATTCTTTATTTCAAGTCTGTTCATGAAGCTTCAACAATTGTTTCTCTGAACTGAGAAAGGATGGGCCCAAATTGATGGGGAATAAAAATCTGAAGGAATCATCCTCATTTTTCTATCTCCCTCCCTTCTGAAGATCCTCCACCCCATTTCGCCTGTGTCATCTGAAAAAATCTGAAGAATTAACCTGAGTTCATATTCTCAAGAGAAAGACTGGAATGGACTAAAAATTTAGGACAGATCCACATGTAGTTCTAGCAAAGATGATCAAGCCATAAAGGAGAGCATTCATATTTTAAACACCCTTTCCTTCAACTCCCTTCTCACATGTACCAAAAGTGGTGATGGGTTATGTGGCTTTAGATGTCCCTTTCTGCTCTGGTCAATAACTATGGCTTGATCCAAGAGTTGAAGCTGTGTCTTCTTTGTGGTGGATTGCGGGAGATAACACTCCTTGTCAATATTAGACTGCATTTATGTCTCACCAGGAGAATAATCCACATTACACCTCTAGAAAATGTGAATTCTACAACTGGATTATATTATGCAAATTAATCTTGATGGCTTGAAAACAAATAGGAGGCACTCATAGCTTATGAGGATAATGTTGCTAAAAATGCCTTGTATTTGAACCACAGAGTTGGTAGAGTATCGGTTTTTAGGGTTCTTTGTTGGCCAAGCCTTCAGGAGGAAGAGTGTGGTGCAGTTAAGAGTGTAAGTGTTGTGCTGGATCATAGCAAAGGCTTATATCTAGTCTAGCTTTCTGCTCCCACAGAAGATATCTAGACACCCAGGAAAACCAGGACATGAATACAAAGGTTGGCATCACCGGGTGTTGGCTTTGAACTCCAAGAATCAGATTTTGTGGTCTATTCTTCAGCTCCCTGGTTTTGGGTCTATTTTTTGGGGTGTGTTCTTCTTGTGGTCTATTCTTCAGCTCCCAGCTCCCAAAAATTTCAGGGAATGAGATCCTGCAAGCTGGCAATCTTAGATTTGGGGACATGCCATTTTGACTTACTTAGGAGTGTCCTTGTCTTTTCCATTAACCTGCATGTTTCAGAGCTGTTCTTGATGCTGAATGCTCCAGCATTACCCCATTCTCTCTCCCCGCTCTCTTTCTTTCTTATACTGTACACGCAATTGTTGCTGAATGACCTACCTGCTATGGCTTTGTGAGGGTTCACCCCTGGATCTCAGGCATTCCCCCTGAAATCTAGGGAACGGAATGGTCCTGGCCTTGTAAACTTAGCAGTAATGCTCGGTGGTTTGCCTTCACCCAAAACTGGAACTGAAAGGCCTTTTGTCTTTGATAGCAGAGGTAACATAACAATCATGATGCTTGCTACTTCTAGATGCTTTTGAAGTTTGCCACAATTCCTGTTTTGTTGTCTGTCTAGTAAACGGTGTTGTAAGCAGCATTTTGGATCTCTCCAGACTTTCCTGGTGACCAACATAGCTAGTATATTCTGGAATCATAGCTTTGAGGCACTGTTTCAACTCAACAGAGAAGGGAAACTGAATTTTCACATCACTGGCATTACAGAGGAAGATGCCTGGTGAGCTTTCAAATAGAACTTGGAAATGCTTCTCTCTTTTTTTTTTGACCTCAGCTCCCAGAAATCCCCAGTGAATTATACGAGTCGTAGTCCACAAAAACAGAAACGTTCAAAGCTCTGCTTTTAAAGCCCTTTCAGCACTGAGGGAAACAGGACCCTTGTGTATTTTTAGGGGTCTGAAATACAGCCGGCTTTCTCCTCCCTTTATCTCAGAGCCCCAAAGCTGACACACAATCTCACTCACCGAATGGCACAAGCTGTGCTAGGCTGCCCCATGTAAAACTGCAAGTGAACTATTTCATGTCTAGCTCTCATATTTCTCACCCACAAACTGTTTCTGCCAATATAAATTTAACAAGTTAGGCAGAACTACTTGTAGCCTCACCTTCTTTCTGGCGTATTAGTTTGGTATGTTTTCAAAGGTGATCTCCCCCACAATCCAGCCGGATGCGATACAGCCCAGCTCAATGTGAATCTTCCAGTCATTATGCTCCAGTGCCTAGATGATCTAGCCATTTTGTTCCCAATGTTGGGTCTCCAGATGTGCTTGGACTAAAGGTCCCAGAAGCCTTCCCCACTAGCTGTGTTGGCCAGGATTTCTGGGAATTGTAGTCCAAGAACATCTGGGGACTCAAGGTTGGGCACCACTGACCTATGTCAACCCATCAAAATGTGGATAGACAAACAAACATGTCTTTTCATCTGTTTACTCAGTTTTGCTGTGATATGAAACTCTGAGGATCAGGAAAACTTGTTCCTGGACTTGGGAATATTTTGTTTTCACTAAGAGGTTCTAACAATCACAAGGCTAATAATCTTCTCGCAGTGATGGTGTTCTGGATCCCTTCTTGTGCAAGGCCAGAAAGAAAAAAAACCTCAACCACTCATATAAAGAATGATTGGGCGCATGAAGTGGGAAACAAGGATTCTGGCTCTAGCCACTTTCTTGGGCTTCAGAACTCCTTACCTATTGTGCAAATGAAAACTCTGAAATCAGACTGTTTGGGTGAGGAACACCTTCACTCAACACCAAGCTGGAGTGTTTAACTTCTCATTTGACTCATAGGGACTGAGTCTGTCTGAGAGTGCTTCTGTTGGCACTCACTACAAAGGGACCACAGCTGTGTCCTTAGGAGTATATACGACAACGAATGCCACCATGCTATGGATAGACTTTAATTAACCAGCTCCCTCCCATCCCTCCCACCCTCAAAGAGATATAGAAGATGAAGATGGCCTAGGCAGTGATGCAACCTTAGACAGGCAGCCCCAGAACATCCAGGAAACAGTTCATGCGCAGACGTTATGGTTTTGTTATTCATAGCAGTTGCCTCCAGCGTTCAGCTTTGCCCCTTCTTGCCCGGTGGACTGAAATCTCTGGAATGGGATGCAACGGGTTCGGGTTCTGAGTTATTTTGTTCCTAGATCATTCCTGCCAGCCAAGGCGGGAGGAAGAGACCCACTGTCCCCAGCAAGCAGACAATGATGAACATCCAGAGGAAGATTCTGTCGATGACCATTGCGACGTACTTCCAGTCTTCCTTCACCTGCAACACAGGAGAGGGGGAACAACGAGGACATATCAAAAATAAATAAATTCATAAAGCATAGGGGGATTGAAGGTAGTATCATTATCTGAGGAAGAAGCACTGGGGATGGTGGTAGATGTAGTCCAAGGCACCTGGACATGGGAATGCTGGCATATACAGATCTTGAAAAAGATGTTTGTTTGTTTGTTTGTTTGTTTG